TTTTTTATACCATTTCGACCAGGGATTGAACTCGCGGCGTGTGGATGCAACTGTTTGATCTTAATTTTTAACTGTTGGCCAAATAATGAAAAAACCAGCAGCGTTGGCGGGAGTCGAACCCGCATAGCAGGGAAAGCCTTTACGCCGCCAACGCCCTACCACTTGAGCTACAACGCCACTCCTTGCGCCGTGAATTTAATCACACTTGGATAGATTTTACCTTCCCAACTTTACCGCTCGTACGGAATCCACCAATACGGAAATCGTGCTTGGACAGTCAGTTTACTGTTCCGTATTGGTGGCGTGGAATCAGGCATTTCAAACCTAGCCTACGCATTTCTTTTGTCAAAAATACTACTTAAAAGACATATAAAAATGAATCGTCGAAGTAATCTGACTAAAGTAGTCTGGTAAAGCGTCTGATTATTTCCATAAACACCATTCGACTTGTTTGAATTTCCTTAAGCTTCTTCTATGGATATCACTGGGTCCTTGGTAAAGGAAGGCATTAATTGAAGAAATTGTGAAAATGAGCTAATTCTGAAGATAGAAGAATTATATGTTTTCGCTCCGACATTCCTTTATATTCTCCGGGTACAGTTCTTTTCTGCAATCCACTCCTTTAAATGTGATTCGACTTAATTAAAGACAGAAGCTTTCAACTTGCAGTGAGACGGTCCATGCCACAAATTTTAGCATTTAGTACTCACGACGGCCTAAATATGTGTAATTTTGCGTATTGGGATGTTCAATGGCGTAAACCTGACATGGTAGAAGGTTGGGATGGCTTTTAATAATATTGGAATTAGAAAGTCAAATTAACTAAAGCACATGCAGTGTGCAGTATCTTCAAGCATGTGCCCTGGGAGTCATTTCGGGTGCAATTAAAAGTGTCCTTCTGCTTTGATCTCCAACTGAAAATTCCTGAAATTAAAGTCGACAAAATCCAGCTTAAATATATCTAGCCTCTGGTCTGTAAAAGAGTATACCACGGTTTGACATCGAGAGGTGATATCAAAGAAATGACCAGAATTAGATTGAGAGGGCTGAGGTTTGTCTGAATATGTCAAAAGAGGGAAAGAATCCGAATCTGGATGAATTTTGACTAGTCCCCTCTTTTGGCAGGCACATGGATCCCTGAATCCGCTTTCCTACCCATACCTTGTAATTTTCTTTTTGCTTGCATATCCTCACCTTAAATAGACTAACCCTCTGACCTAAAACCAATACTGAATAAGAAAGTATACCCATTTGGCGACGACATTTCGTGAAAAAACTTCGCAGATAATTCGCTGCTACATCCTGTTAGAGTGGTTTGGATAAACACTTTTCATCAATTCGCCTTCCCTTCAAGATCTCTTTGTCGTTCGACTTCAATATTTTGCATGCAGGCGTGAATATTATGTATGCAGATAGCTGCATAACGTATTTTGAGCAAAACATCTAGGCTTAAATTTTGACTTAATTTGTTGAGTTTCGATTCCTCTTTCATCCCCCAGACAGAAGAATTTCTTCCCAAAGAATCTTATCGTTCCCTCAGGATAAGATTTGTTGTCACATAATAGAAACAACTGTCTTTGGTGTTCTGAGGTGAGGGCCATAAGTTATTCCACGGATTCAAACTATGCACTAGATGTTTTAAGGTATTTCTACAGAGAACACGCACACAGATCTTATCATCTTTCGAACTTCTTGCTCCTACCAACCATTACCTTCACTGGTCGCATTAGAATGAGTCATCCGTATACTGTAAAGCTTGCAGGACAACGGATGGGAACAGAAAAAAAGAAATAAATGAGAGCTGGAAAACGTTTAGGATGGCTGCACGTTCATTAGCATAAGGCTGACAGTGTCCTTTAGTATAGCTGAATGTCAGAACATGAGTCCAGACTAATCAAATTCTGCCCTCAAAATAAAATATTGGCGAAAGAAACAAAATCTGACTTTCTTCTGGTTTTAAGGATCGGAGACATCTCGTTCCTGTGTCGAACTTAATTTTTTAAGCAAATGTGCTTGAATGATTGCTTTTTAGAGCGCCTACATTTAACTTTAACTTATAATGATCCCTGTTTGCAGGCCGATTAAAAGAGGATGCTCGCAAGTGCAGACTGAAAGTTTAAACTCCGGTTCGCCGAAAAATTACCTACTTAAAGGGTCCGATTTTGATGTCACCCAATGCCCTTTTTGACTGTACAAAAAAGCTTTAAATCATCAGCAATGATTTATATTAAATTGATAGAGAAGGGTAACCTGAGAAGGGAAAACGTAATTTTCCCCATCTCAAATTATTGTGCAAGGAAAACCCAAGTTGGAGAGTAGATTTCTTATCTCACTAATGTGCTTTCGATTCGAACAAATGTAATGTTGTAATGCTTATTTCTATAAAACACACTCTCAAGATACATCAGTCACGTCAGGATACCTTCTTGTTTGTCAGTCTGCAAAAATAATACTCTGTTAAAATGACTACCTACGTAGTATGCATGTTTCTCATTATTTGTCATTCCCTCATAGATGTTAATATATCTTATAGAAAAAACGCATACAAAAATACCACATCTTGTACGCAAGTGGTAACAAATCATGCATTCTTCAAATTTTGCACTTGAGGAACAGGTATTCTAAGATTTTAAATTGCGGAATATTTTTAAAACTTACCAGCCGTTTCACTTAAATTCTACGTTTGCAAACTACATTCTATATATATACTGTCTAGAAAAAAGTATGAATTTCCCTAAGATATAAGTGAGTGGCACACAGTTGTAATAAAAATTTGCAATAGATATTGATCGTGTTGCGTACTTTATAGTCAAAATTAATTAATTCACGACGATATTATATAGTATAATTAAAATTTTAACAGTTGTAAAATAATTTCATAATTATAAAAGTTTTTTTAAATACGAAAATAGGCTTTTTCAAGCAGTAAATTTGGAGATGGCATTGCTTGCAACCAAACGATTTCAAGAAGAAATAATTTTTGTGCATGTCTTATAAAAATGCATTCAAGGACATAAAGGCATTAAAATGCAGTGGGAAAATACATACTACTTAAGTAATTATTTCGTACCTTTTGTGCTTTTTGCAGGAAATCAGAAAGATTGTCATTTAAAAGCTAGCAGCCGATGAAACGGAAATATTTTCAGATTCGGTTGTACGATATTCCGTATGACACCATTAATTACTTAATTTTTTCGAATCCAAAACAAATTTCATAATTTCAGTTGACATATTTTGAGATAGGGAATTTACTATATGCTTAACTCGATCCGGCGCTGACTAAGTTGACTTTCCAAACTGCAAATAAAGAAACTAAAGTAATCAAAATTTGCGTCATTATCTAGGTCGTTTCTGATTTCGCAATGCCTCAAATACCGTCCACAAGACTTTTCAACTTTTGTAATATAAGGACCTCGGCAAAAAAAACGGGAAGACCGCGATGAAATCAACGCACTAAAAGGTAAGGTCAGCCAGATACAGCATGGCAAATGCTTCTTCACAGACCGAAATTGCCGAACGAACAGTTCAGACAGTCGCCAGGCATCAATCACTAGTGAAAGTTGGCACGATGAGGTCAGCATTCAGAGAAGTTAAGATAGCCAACTCCATCTAGTGGCCTTTTATGACCATTCAAGGCATTGGAAGACAGACATCGACCCTTATTTGGCCAGACCAACTGGGCAGGTCAAAGAACTTCCATTTCGTTTATTTTGTGAGAAAGCTGGCCGCTTCTAATGAATAATGAATTTTATGTTCTTTAGATGTCTTCCGCCTTCTCAAACTCCTTTTTTTAATACCAGCACTCCAATCGCCTCATAAGTGTGGTGCTGACCAAAACGTTGAACACGTGCTTCGTTGTCGTTATGCGTAAATGGTCAACACTGGTCGAGGACTTTTACAAGCTGGGTTTCAGTGATATTTAATTCTAGTTTATTTACCATCTTCATGTGAAGAGTGGCATGAATTCATAAGTAGTTCAATCTTACTTTAAAATAGAAGGTGGATGATCGTATAAAACCTATAAGGTTCCCGTTACCGGCCTATTCAAACAAACACGAAACCTTGAGCGAATAAAATTAAAAGTTCACTAGATCTTTCGGTAATGTAGAGAAGTAAAGATTAGAAAATGTGCTTGTAAAACAAGGCCAATTGTACTATTACCATTTTTGTGAAATAAATAATCTTTTCCGAATAAAACAACGCGTCTGGATCAAGATGTCTGACATTTTAGAAAGAATTTCTGGAAAGTGGATTTTTTAACAGATTAATAATAATTTGCAAACGCGATGCAATGTATGAAGAGATCGCTGTCTAACCTTTGCACGAGCTTCCCTCGTGGCCTCTGCTTCAGCTGCCATTGCTCTTTGCAGTTGCAATGGAAGTCTGACGTCTTTCCTGTCAAGAAAGCGGGAAAAATAAGTGTACATTAAAAGGTTGATAACATTTTCTGCACGAAATTGTTTTTCGTAAACTCAACTCCTGCGAAAACACTGTAAAAGAGGCTGCTTTGGAGGTAGAAAACGTTCTGCAAAGTGTCAGTAGAAAAGCCAGGGGTTTATTATTAGTTCACACGAGCCGTTCTGTGTGCACACGGGTAAATGATAACCCCAAAGAAGAGGGTTCAAAGAATCGGTATTTAGTTTTACTTATCCTTCAAGGAGTGCAAGGTAAGGCTTAAGACCACCTGGGGTTTATGGAGATGGGCCCATGGGATTTCGCATAATTCTTTTTTCATTCGCAAGGGAAGAATTTTTATGTTCATGTGGTGCAATCAATAACGTTTGTAGATACTCAGAGATGATTATGCTCGGTTTAAGACGTATACAGACATCGGACGGCGAAGAACGGAGGTCTTAAGTTCCTTTGATAGAATTGTACTAGCAAATGCTAATAAATTATGTTGTGCACCGGGGTCATATGTGTTTTCTGCCCTTTTGTGGCAGACAGGATTGCACAGTAAATATTCTTTTACATAATAACATTATAAAATACAAAATTCGGTCTGTATATGTATTGCTGCCACTGAAAATGAAATATTTTATTTATCAACACTGTATTAATCGGAGGTCTGTACGAAACACACTTCTATAAGTGTGTTGCGTACAAACCTCCGGTTAATACAGAGTTGGCGAGACGCAAAGAATTCTATTGATCTTCTGGAATATACTCTAATCCTAGCCTATCTTCACCAGCTGATGGAGCAATAAGTTTCTTCGTAGACTAATCTATCTTTCTTCAAAAGTTGTAATTTTTTTTGAAACTGCGTTACTTCTGTAGCCAAAAACAAACATTTAATTTTTTAGCATGTCATTATGTTTTTCCTTCTGACAGTATCTCTACGTTAGATATTTCGTCTGGACGTATTTTCGCTCATATACATTTAACTTAGCATGTATTAGATAGAGGCATCTCACACATAGCCTTAATTAGTATGGGAAATCGGTTTCATGGCCAGTGCAACTTTTTGAACAAAGTCGTCCGTAGTGCAGAAGATTTGGTCGAACTCGTAGATTTAGATCCACATTTCAGGGTCCAACATGCAGTGGTCTACCTTGCGCTGTTAAACTTGTTCAGTTGGATTTCACTAACGTTGATGAGGTCTTTTCTGCTTCGTTCATGCCTTTTAAAATATGCTTTCCAAATTTTTATTGCGAAACTAAGGCAAACTAGTATTCTACGTATAATCGCAATATGTTGCCCATATTACAACTGTGTGGAGGCTTGAGTCACGGACAAAGTGGTTATTTATGCTAATACGAAATTAAAGTTTTATTAATGCTGATTTGAAGTATATGACATAGCCGACTTCCTTTGCAAAATACTATGAACGCTATGCAGCAGCTTTTTAAGGAGACCGAGAACTAAATTAACCAAATCTTCCAAACCAACTTAATAATATGTTTTCTATTACATGGGAAGCATACCGCTAAAAGATTGAAAACCACATGCGAAAATGAAATGGCAGTCGGAACTCCACAACCCCAAAAAATATAAACTTAAGTGTACCTTATATTGAGTACATACTTTTAAGAAGAGATGATTTGCTACCATTTGAGTGCAATGATATATATGCTGACATTCAATATAAGATATATTTACATATTTGAGCCAGCTAAAATCAATAGAAATATGCATTGTACGTAACTTGTCGTTTTAACTAATTTTAATTCATAATGTGCGAAAAAGCCGCTACAAAGCCGCTTTATTGACGTATGTGAAATATTATGGAAGTATGCCGCACCGTGATGACCATTACGGTCCTTCTTAAGTTATAACTTCTGATCGAAGACGCGTCCCAGAAGTTCGGTTAGCACTTCATGAGATCGGACACTTAATGTACAATGTGGCAGGTTCTAGTCCTAAAAATATATTTTGGGGACATAAAAATTTATGGGAATTCGTGTAAGGTACCTTGCGTGTATTTTGGAAGACTAAAAGCTGGTGACAGAATTTTCCTTCGAAAATATGCAAGTAGCATAAAGCTTTTTTTAAACAAAACTGGTATTTTTCGTGAAATTGAAAATTTACGAAGGAAGCGGCTGACTATAAAAATATCTAAAACAATGACCATCCTCTGTGTGTACTTACAGGATAACAAATGCTCAATCAAAACATGTAAGATAACCTTTTGTGAGAGGTGACGTTGCGACCTCACTTAAATACTCTTTTTTGGTAGGCCGGAACACGCTTTTCGCTGGATTTTGTGTGTTAATGGAAATAACACATTGTCACAATTTAGCTTCTGCTTTACCAATCATTGTCTCTAGAAGCCTATAAAGTGTACGTCCGCTGAAATAATTTTATTGACGTAAGCACGCCGATTTCGCCGAATCTTTTTAACCAGTCTTTCTGAAATACAACGGCTTTCAATTTGTGCAACAAAATTGCAGGCACGCCATTCACGTAAATAGCTCTGACAGGAGATGAGTTTTTTTCAGATTACCTAGAGCTTACTGTGACAGATTTTGAGGAAAATATTTTGTGAATATTCTGGGCTGTTAACTCAAGTTCTAAGCATCCCAAATCCTTTTTTTTGAATACGACTTTTGGGTAACCGAATGTCATCTATTTTAGGGTTTGTCTAATGCTGTTGAATTCTACATTCACATTTGTACAAGAACATTACCTGTTCTTGCAATCTTGCTAGGCAAACTTGCTCCCTGCCCTCTATCTTGTCATTCACATTTTAAAAACTGTTCTGTTTGATCTGCCAGATAGTGCAAGATTTCGCGTGATTATGAATTGTGAAATATTCATGGAAACTTGGAGCAAATTCAGCGTTTCTTCATATGTGCGTTTGCGGTGTCATCAATGTTTCCTCATAATAAGTATAAATAAAACTTTAAATAATTATCTTATTGGAAGTAAACACCTTACCTAAGAATTAATAAACGATCCAATAAGATGATATAGTCTGAGTTTCTCTATATGACTTGGCGTCCATCAGCCTATTTTTGATCGTGACACTGCGCATTGCCTAAATGCATCCAGACTTATCATCGCTCTTATTCCCGGATTCGTACCTGTGCCTGTATTTTGGAGCATGGCCACACATATCTACTAATCTTGCATCAGTATTCAAACTAGCATACCCCCATTTATATTTCAGAACCGAACCAGCAATAGTCCACCAACGATTTTAATGCAGTATTAAGTCAGCACGGAACAAGCCCTTGGTAAATGCGTCTAAAGGAAAGCAGTCGTCCGAAAAATAAAAAAACAAGCCGCCGACTTAAATAAAAGATCCCGGAAAAAAGACAGGTTGAACAACCCACTAAGCTCCCGCTATTGGATTGTTAAGTAGGATGCTTCTTAATCTCGTACTAAGCAAAAAGCCAATGCAAAAGGTTTTGCCTTGTCATAACTACAACATGTGATCCTCATCCAAGGAAAGTTCTTATTTAGCCTTTGGTTAATTTTCGCAGGAGTTGGGACTACTTGCAAGTCTTAAAGCTGAGTACACCACTGCCGAAAGGAACTTCTCGCTTGAGGTTGAATACAGTTTTCAGATGTCTTATGCAAATAAGAAGTCGATCGAAAATGGGCGGAACTTACACTTCTACTCGCTCCACCTTGACGCCCCAGGGATCTGTTGCATCGTCCAGCATTAACTAAAATTTAGAAATTTAGAAAATATAAACGGCAAGAACACACATTTTTATCTTTCAAGTAATAATTAAGGTATAAGTGGATGTACTATGAAAGATATATTTGTCGCAGCTGTGAATTTTTACATTATTTAAGAACTTGCCAGATTGTGATAAAATATTCTTGCAATCCAGGTGTTTATTTAAGGTGCTCAAAGTTCGGCAGCGCAATCCCGCATGGACAAGGAAGTAGTTATCTGTCTAGAATTCTCATTTATGGTGATATTTGTTGGTACTTGGTGGTATACTACCTTCAGTTACGGCCATTTTATCTGCTTATTAATAACAGGCGAATATTAAACGCATTTGCCGTCAATTTTTAAAAGCAAAATCATGTAAACCCCCAATAAAGATTATTATTCATGAGCTCTATTCCTGAGCATAAACGTTCAAAGAGGCGATTAAATGTGCATTGAGGTATCCCCACGCCTAGCGTCGAGACTATTCATCCAATTAACTTCGGCCTCTGGAAAATGGTTCGGGCAGCCAGAAAAAGTGGCTCGAAAATCAACAGAGGGCTAGAAATCGAAAAACCAATGTATCGATCACGGAAGCGTTCTCCTAAAGGCTTATAACTCCTGCCGTTTTTTTATCTCCACAGAAGTGGAACATCAATCAGAAGTAAAACTAGGTAGCCAATCGGAAAGCGAAGACGAACTAGTTTGAGTTCTACGGTTTCTCTAATTATTTTCATGTCTGTCCAGGTGCCTCGGTATTTGCTTTAAGCACCTTGTGAGCACACTATTTTCAAAGAGAATAATCATCGCCAATAGAAAAGAATATGCGAGTTCCAGGAAGCCTTTCAGAAGAAGAGGATACGATCACTGAAACAAGAGTTTTATTTGCATGACGTTTCGAACTCCGTCGCGAATCCTTAATCATAGGTGATGGTAAGACAGTCATAGTCATGCGCAGATAGGGTTGAGACACGCCCAGGTTGCACGTTATTTATAGTTTATAGTGATTATCCGCGTGTTTATGATAATTATCCACTTTTGTAGCCACCGCTTGGGTCTTAATTGATGCGGTACTGGCTTGACACTTCGCGTTTGACCCACTAATTGCTACAATTGCCTTGTCAGCGGGCCTGATAATTGCCTAACGATTATGCCCGCTGTCGTCAGAGTTGTTGATGGGCCCGGCCCTTCCCATATGACTGGTTCTCTTGCTCAGGAAACATCTCAGTACACTGTATGGGAACGCCAAATCGTCGTGCTTGTTGATGGACTGGGGGCCTGAGCACCATGATCCCAGCAGCTCGTGGCTCACGCGGTTGTCACCTCTTGCGAGGATTTCGACCTCGTCACTTGAAAAATATGGCCGGGTACCGTCGAGTGAGCTGCAACCTGGGAGTTGGCGTCTTTCCTTCTCACCGCAGCTGTATGCTCGGCCATTTGCGTCCGGAGTAATCTTCCGGTTTCTCCGAAATAGTTGCTTTGTCTACAAATGCACCACATCCGGTAAACGACTCCAGCCGTTTCCTGCTGTGGCAGTAGA